CATGCAACACAATAATCCTCCTACAAGTTGTGTGTGCCATCTCTGGCCTGGTTCTGTTCAAAGCCAAACTTAAGACATATTTACTGAAAAGGGATTTGATGTTTAACTTTTACTATTTTTATATTTCTTTTTACCCTTTTTGACTGTGCTTGCCTTTTTAAGTAGCCCCGTTTTATTGTGCAGTGTATTTGTTTTATCCTCTATAGCACTTTGGTCAATGCAGGGCATTAATACATATGAATAAAATGTATTAGTATTATGATTAGCCACTGAACAGAACAAATTCTTTACTAACCCTGTGTAAGCAACTCTTAAGAACAATCAGTTTTAGAGAGCAGTCAACCATTTTGCACTCCACCCCAACCTGCCCCTGATTTCATTTAAATGATTTTTAAAATGATATTGGAAAAGTTACAATATCTCATCTTTACTTTAACATAACAAAAATTAATGAACTGAAAAACTTTGAGTCATAAATCCAGATACCTTTGACAAATACATTTTTTTTTTTTTAGTCACCAATTGTCTTTGTAGCTTTGTTGCTTACTTATCCATCTATAGCCTCTGCCTTTGGAGCTTGTACATTTTGGACCATACAGAATTGTAAGACTGATTATCATGCTCTTACATGTTTAGCGTTAATGAGGTTGAATTGAATTTCTGTTTGTTACAGCCCACAGTGCCTCTCTGCTGTCTTCCCTCCAAGGGTTTGGAGTGAGATCTTCTGCAGGTGTTTGTGGTTGGCTTGATTACTGCCTGCTGCCACATGTGCAGCATTCTCTGTCTCTCTCCTAAGATCCTCATTTGGTTTGGGTTGTATTGTATGGTTTACTTTGGTTAGTCGTGAGTTTTTGATTAACCTGGCTTCAGTTTCTTATTTCAGATATTCCTTTTCAGATTTTATTTCTTTAGTATAATCAATAACTTATCAGTTTGTTGCAAGTGAGGCAATCCTTGTGTGGTCTCCTCTTATGTTAGCCCACCAAATGAGTTTGGTGGACGTAACACTGCCAGAGTGGTTTTTCTGATGCTCCCAGGCAGGATGACTGGGAGTTTACCTTTTGTAATGCATTGTGGAGATCTAAACTCCTACTGTGGGGCTTTGTAGTTCAGAGAATTAAAATCAGCCTAAAAGGTTGTGGAAAAAGCCTGGCAGATTGCTTTCTGTGGTGCACCGACAAAAAAAAAAAAAAAAAGGGGAAAGTTGCTCCAAATTCACTTTGAGCGTTCGAGCTCAGACAAAAATCCAACTCTGCCTCGCTTCCAAGACATGGATACGTGAACTCTGAGTTTTATCTTGGTACGTCAATTTGATTGAATTATCAGTACAGATCATCTGCATGCGTTTCAGAAAAGTCATTAAGTCTTTGCAGAGACATTTGAGAAATGGTGATTAAATGCAGAAACAGTTTTGCACCTGTATGGTATACATAGTGTGCGAGAGCTACAGTTGTCATTCCATAACATTTTATGACATGTCCTAAAATTCACTGACATCGCTGCACAGCAAAGCAATTAAGGGACTTAACTGATTTGAATGCTTGTTTAGGTTTCTGCACTAATCTGCCAGGGTTCTGTTTCTAATTAGTAATAAAAACTTAATTTAATATTTTTCGGCTGGTTTGAAACTTGTATCTGCATCAAGAAATTCATACTTTTGTGAAAAGTTTGCACTGACAAGAACAATGGAACTTTAACAACTTATTAAAAAAATACATTGTGTGCATATAAACTTATTCATCCTTATTTTGGACAAATAACCTACTTCCTGTCCTACTTTCATAATTATCTCTAATTGGTCCCCCGCTCTGATGCAAATATCAAAACTATTTCCTGAAATATTAGACATGCAATATAAATATGTTTTAATCAAAATCTGGCCACACTATCAAGCTGCAGTGTTATTTTAAGATATGAGTCTGGCCTTTTGTTTGCCAGATAATAATAGAGTAGATAATAAATCCAGCATGTCTAGACAATAAATGAAAGCAAATCTTTTAAATCCAATATACGATTCATAATCCATAGAATGATCTATTGCTTATGTTTCTTTCAATTATTGATCCAATAGTTTATGAGGCCTAACTTTATTTAACCAAAGGGTGTGATTTCATTTTTTACTCACCTCCTGTGGATGAAAGTTAGTTTTTAAATTCTGCAGAGTTTTAGTGCACCACAGTTTAAAGTATGTCACAGTATTAACAGATTTTTTTTAAAACTTATCACCCAGAAAACATCATCCTCTTTGTGAAAGACTGTAATGGCAGCATCATCCTGCCAGAGAAGCTCATCAAGGCTGATTGAAAATATATATCTATATTTTGGAGGATTGGGAGGATTGCTCTATGCTTAGCTAAATCTGTCTTCTGGAAACTCCAAACGGCAGAATGACTACATTTACTCATGTACAACTAAAAGACAGGTTACCAAACTTCTAGTGAGACTTTTCCGTCAAAATACACTTTCTACTTGCAGCATCTACTTTAAGGGAGGAGGGAGGAAGGAGTCTTATTTAATTTCTTACGTAAAACAAATACTTAAGTCTCAAGTACCTGCTTTGAATTTTTCTGTCTTTGCAAGTGCAGTTTGGGATTGGATGCTCAGCAACCATGGGCTTGTAATAGTGTGTGATCCTTACATTTACATGGGCGTGTAATTGTTGAACTTAACAGTGTGTTCATTCATTAGTGAGTGCTTACCTCCTCGGTCTCTCTCCTCATCTCTCTACATTAGCTCTGACAGTAATGACTTGCCAGGCCTAACCTCTTAACTGGCTTGATGCATGGTTGTGGGAAAGGCACTCTCACTGCTTAGTTAAAATGGAAACATGCCGGTTCAGTGTTTAATTTTTTTTTCCCCTCTCCAATCTTTCCCTCAATTTCCTTTCCATTTGAGCATTTTGTCCTTTGCTGCAGACATCTGCAAAAGTTATGGCAAATAGCTAACTCAGGATTTTAGCTGCAGATAACAATTTATGCTATAGTCTTTAATTGACTGTCTAAGAATAATTGTACCAGCACAAGTGATTATATGCCGCTTGTTTTAAAAGTTAAAATGATCAAAGATAAATACAAAAGACAGAGATGTGGAAAGGAAAATCTTTTTGTAAAACACCCTGCTTTGTCTGAATTCATTTCAAATCCGACCACACTGGATTACTACCTGCCAGTCCCTAAACTGGCAGGTAGCTGACCATCAATGAAAAAGGAATGAGACTAAACTAGACAAAGTTTTGTCTAGTCACTAGAGTTATTCAGTTCTCCTTTAAAGTAAGGCTGAAGCTAATAAATGACATGCTACAAGAAATCTGGGAACACGTTGCTTGCATGAAACATAGAAAAAAAAATATTGCCCACAAATTTATAGTGTTTTGTTTTTTTGCAAAATATACTGCTTGAAATCATGAAGAAGCCATCCTATGCTTTAAATACCAGTTTCAGAGGTCACAAATGTTAAATTCTGTGTTTGAATTTGACTTGTTTAGATAATACATCTAGGCTGTTGCAAGGCGTGAAGGAATCTCACAGCTAATTAGCACACTGGGCTGTATTAGCTATCCACAAACTTTTAGTTACTGGTTTCAGCCAATAAGACAAAATTTTGAAAGAAACACATGGCTTCTTAATATCGTCATTACAAATCATAGCATGCCACTGGCACGCAGATCTGAGCCCAGCGCTGTACTGCTGCAGCTGTAATGAGTATGACGGTGACCTGGCAGGTGAACAGTTGGCCACACTCACCAACTGATTTTACATCTAGTAGCTGTAACACCTAAAATAAAAATAATTATGTATGTTGAGATTTTTTTTTAACACTAACATGTTATATCTATGATTATCTTCCACTTATCTGGAGTCAGATTGTATTTTTCTTTTTATTAGTAAAGTATTTTGAGAACCATGAATAGCTTTGTTTTCAGTTCTAATGCTTGCTGTGCCTTACATTTTAACTGCAGTCAAATCTCGAGATTTATAGTTATCCTTTAATATTAGACATGCTGCAAAGTCAGTCATATTTATTGTCAACTTTCAGCCTTTAATTGCGATTTCACTTTGACGGATTTTATAAGGTGGGAAACACAGGTTCAGTTTTGTGATTTCTGACTGGACAGCAGAGATAAGAGAACCCAAATAAATCTCCATCCCCTAGAATGGGTTGCAGTGGCAGTGGAAATAAAGAGGTTTTGGTTGGCCAGCCAGATGACTGACGTCTGTTCCCACCTCAGTGACCAGTAGATAAACCCAGGATTAGGGAGAGGAAGATTATTAGTGTTGCACACATGCATGCATACACTTTAACAAACACACAGATGTGAATTGATATAGTCCCATAAATGTACGCAAAATTAATACAATATTCACTTAATGCTCCAAAATACACATTTTACGACATATATATATATATGAATGCTAACACAGCTAAATAAATGAGCAATGTTGTAAATGTGAGTCTAAATGTAATAACCTGAACACAACCTGAACAAATTGAACACAATTTCCCTCTCCACTTCAGAAATCACAGTATTAAAGGCGTCAGACTTTTAAAAGGTTTGGGCTGCACCAAAACAGAGGGGAGAAGGATAGGAAAACAGAGCAGTGAAGATGAAGGGACAGCCGGAGCAGAGGGTGGAGAGATCCTATCACAGATCAGAGATCCCGTCTAAGCTGCAGATCTTCGTGCAATGTGAACTCCAGGTAGCCTGACCTCAAATGATTCCAGTCCATCAGTGACAGAAGGAAGGACATCCAAAGAGAGATAAATACACCATGTGACTTCATAAGGCATATACCTCGTTCTACATACTAAGGAGCAGCATGTTTCTACTGGTTGGTCTTATAGGATTTATGTGCCATGAAAAACAGAATAATAAGAGGATTTAGGAAAACATTTCCAAAGACAAACTCAAAATATATCTATTCGACACATACTGTTATAAAGCTTACATTTGTTCCCATGTCCATCTGTCGCAAAACTAAAGCAAACCGCGCCAGGGCCAGTTTCATTTCGGTTAAAAAAGCAAAACATGTACTAATTAAATTTATTCAAATTTCAACCTAAAGACAAAAACACAAATCTGCTCTCCACAGATGTCACACAAAGCATAATTAGGAATCAACAACCTCCTAAAGTATGCAACAAGCCTAAATGATCATTAATTAAAACTACCTGGTTCCCTCAAATGTGTGGTTTGATAGGGAGATGCCTGTGAAAGACTTTATTTTTACTAAAAAAATATGAAACTATTGGATCAATATTCATGTGTACCAAACAATATAGCAAGATATGATACTGTATGCGGAATACTGCAAGTGGAAGTCATCAGACCAGTCAAAGCTTTTCTTTATCTGTTGGTGGGTAGTTTTGATGAGCCCATGGGAATTGTAACTTCAATTACTTATTCATAGCTAACAGTAGTGACTGCTGGCCTGGAATTTTTCTACTATAGTCCATCCACTTCACCATATTATGCACTCAGAGGTGGTAATCTGCAAACCTGGGCTATTTTTGCTCTTCTGTCATATCAAACAAGTCTTCCCATTCCCCTCCCACCTCTGACATGAACAAAGCATTTTCATCCAAACTGCTGGACATTTTTAGACCCTTCTCTGTAAACCCCCAAAATAGTTGTGTGTTAACATTCCAGTCACTTAAATTATTGTTTCTTTCTCATTCTGAAGCTTGGTTTGATTTTCATTAAGTGGTAACGAGCAATTGTAGAAGAGTACCTTAAAATTGCAGCTACAAGTACCTAAAAGGTGGATTCATTAATGGTGTTATTGAAAATAACCAGTACAGTCAGCTTTTTAAATAGTTTGA